GTAAAAATGGAACCTTAAGAGGTAAAGAAAAATAGTTTTCCTCTTCATGATACACCAATGGTACAGCACTTGATGTCAATAAGCAATTTTATTAAAGCCACTTCCTCAATAACAGATGCACGTTTACACCACAGCAGAATAGGAAGAGTAGGTTAAAGTTTAGTAGGCATTTAAAAAATTTTCATTTTTTTTTTACCTTTATCAAATTCCAAGCTGCGTATAAGAGTCTGTTCAAGCTTGTATGCAATCTAATGCAGTTATGTTGGATTGTATATTTCACATTGCTTTATGGGCGAGACTTAGATATAAAATAAATACAGATTTTTATTTTAATATTTCTTGTGATAGGTAAATGCTGCACATAAGTATATTGGAGAATTTTATTTTCAAAGCCATAAAATAAAATCACACAAAAGCAGTAGCCTTTTATCAGTGTTTATTAACTAGGAAAAATACACACAATGGTTATTATATTGTATTAATTGTTTATGCTACAAATGAGTCCAAACAAGTTTAAACACAGGATTAAAAGATCATTTTTCAAATTTTATTTGCCAGTAACTGAATTACAAATGTCATCAATAGGTCTTTAACTCGCTTAATATATAATGCAACCTCATTAACATTACCTTTGGTTTACTGCAAAAAAAAAAAAAAAAAGAATAAAATATATTTATATATAGAGAGAATATTGCACTCAAATTTAGTTTAGATATTTTAAGAAACATGCATGTGAAAAATCAATGTATAAATGAGTTTTGCGTGCAAATAAATAAATCAAAGTTTTATGTGAAACATTTATCTAAGTAAGGCACCCATTTGTGAAGAAATGGAGTTCTATATAAATAGAAAGAAGATGTATATCTAGCCATGAGTCGCATAAATACAATATAGATAAACATAAACAAACATGTACAAAATACATTTTAGTGAATTGAACATGTGGGGTTTCCAATCTTAAGAATATAATGCCATATTATTCTTAAAAATGTGCTCCAGTCATGCACCAAGTTGCAGGTCCTGGTGAAAGTTGAGTTGAAAAACTGAAATGTCAACATGATTTTGCAAGCTAATTAAAAGTTAAAGGAACACTATAGTGCTAGAATTACAAACATGTATTCCTGACACTATAGCGCTGGTGTGTTTTTTTTTTTACGTCCCTGGCTCTCCAGTCTGTGAAGTTAAAAGGTGATTAAACTTAACTATTCTCCTATGTCGCAGTGAGACATGGCTACACCTACATGAGCGAGATGATCTTAGTCAATTAAATGTTTAAACATTGGGAGGCTATTGCGCATGCGTGGCAAATGCTCCACCAATCAACATCACCTCATAGACATGCACTGAATCAATGCATCCCTTTGAGGAACGTTCACGCTCTAAATGCCAGTGCTGCACACTGTTCAGCATTGAGATAGGAGGTAACTCTAGGGGTCGACTGAGTGACTAGATGTGTTACTAGGCACCAATGTATATCCTGCCTTTTCTTTGAAGAGGCAGTGTTTACACTGAAAAGCCTCCTGGGTCATGCTATAGACACAAGAACCATTATATTAAGCTGTACTAGTGCTCTATCTCTTGCTCTCTTTACATACATACATACATACATACACACACACCCACACACACACACCCACAACCAAAGCACATTAACAGGAAATGCTAATCTTTTTCTGTGTTCTTTCCGTTATTTTTATTTATTTTTTAATTGTATTGCTCTACACCTAAAATAAAGGGGTAAACCCCAACCTAGCCTTCCAGAAAAGACATTATAATGGAGTTAGATCGACACTGTTCACTGTTTTGGGTTTTCTATTTGTGGTATGTGGGAGGAAGAGAAATCTTTTGAACACAGGCACGTGGAACAGAACTTTAGTCTCCTAAATGTCAGGTTTGGTAGAGGAGTATGGCATTTTTTTTAGTACAATATGGACCAGGTGCAGTTTTAAACCCCTTAATGCAGGAATAAGAGTATCTAGTTAATGGGAAAAACATAATAATAAAAGGATTAGTCAGGACAACTTTGTAACACTAAATGGGTTTGCACTAAAGTGAGAATTAAAATTAATTTCAGATTTAAGGCCAAAATTTGTGAAATGGCAAACAAAAAACAAACAAACAAAAAAAACAACTAATTCAGCTATTCTTCCAGTCCAGTACTTGAGCCTAAAATGTGAAATTCACTTTTTATTCTCATTTTAGTAAATAACCCTGTAGTTTGTAAAAACACATTTTACAAGGGATATGTAACATACACAAAAACATATAAAAAATATCAACCACCTAACTTAGGCAGTTTGCGTTGAATTATTCTACTAATTTACAACCATTAAATTCAAGATATTGGTCAGACTACATCATTATTTTTTTTTACATTTCTAATCATTCTTACAAACCAGTGATTTCTTTTGCCAGTGTGTAATATTCAAATGATGTATGGAAATATATATACAATCTATACACAAGTACAAAGGCTAATACCAATATTTTCTCAATATATTTTTTTTTTATGCCTCCTTTTTATTTACTGGTAGGCCTTTTAGCCCCCATATGATGCTATACACATATACACATAGCTATGCTGATGTTTAGAATACTTCGATCCTTAGAGTACTTAAGTAGTCTACAAATAGTCTCATTTAAAAGCTATACCTTAACTAAAATATTCAAATGTTTGGTAACTACTAGTCTCATCTTTACATTGATTGTCTCAGCAAATATGAAAATGTAAATCACACATATGAATATTAAATTTTATATTATTTCTTCATAGGTTAATTCTATTTCAATCCCAATTCACAAAATAAAATTATGTTGAGTTTGCCTACACTTCAATCTCTTTTAACATACTAATAACTCTAAACCATATAATTGCAGGTGAAAGATAACTCAAATTGAAAATTAAATAAACATAATTTGTAACTTCATACTGATAAATCCCACACATTTTAATTTGCACTAAACAAATTGAAGAGTTCCTGTGAAATAGGCAATCCAGTAAATAATTTGCAGTCCCCCACCCTCCTGGATTTCACATCTAGCGAAGGTTTACAGTTAAAGGGATACTATTGTCACCAAAACAACTTTAGCTTAATTAAGCAGTTTTTGTGCATAGATTATGTCTCTGAAATCTCACTGCTCAATTCGCTGCCATTTAGAAGGTAAATTACTTTTGTTTCTGTCCATGCAGCAGTCCTGGCAGCCTGCATGAGAACAAAATGGTTTCACTTTCAATCACATGTTAACTTACCGTACTTAAGTTTTTTTCTCCTGCTCTGTAAATTTTAACATTAATTACATTCAGGAGTCTCCTGCAGGGTTTAACAAGTTAATAATAAAGCAGGAGATAATGCTAAATTATACAGAATTTGCAATAAAAGGAAGTGCAAACATTAGCTGATTCTTTACAGGAAGAGTTTAGAAAAGCTGTGTCAGTCACATGCAAGATGTGTCTAGGGCTGCATAATTGGTTTTAACTCCTAAATGGCAGAGACGTGCACAGTGAGACTGCAGGGCCATGAACTATGAACCAAAACAGCTTCATTAAAGTTGTTTTGATGAATATGGTGTCCTTTTAATGAATTTGTTTAAGCCACTAGCTCTTCATGTAAAACAGAACAGATTAAATAAGATAAAACTGGGAATGGAGGAACTGGTCACTTCTTTTACAGAAATAACCATGATTTGGCCGTAATGTATATCCTTCTTCGCAATTAATAATTGTGGCTCTATTAAGCCAAACATTTGGCAGTTCACTGATATGGCACATCCAGAAACAAATTATCTCCCTAACCCAGATTAGTAATAAAACATTTAGTAAGACATGTTGCGGCAATTTACTGGTTAACAAAAAAAGAAACTCAACAGTAGCACACAGCCATTGCCTGAGTTAATGGGAGACGTAGTTGAGCTACTGAGCCAAGGTTTTTTTTTGTTTTTTTTTTTGCATATATGCCAAATCAGATATTGCCTTGAAATCAGTACCATGTAATATAAACCCCCGCCCCCCCCCAAAAAAAATAAACTAAAAAAAAAACTTACTTGGTTCTTAGATTTACTACAGTTGGAAAATATACAAAGTATCCAAACCTTTAAAAAGGAAACATAGGCATAGTTGTAGATTCCACTTCCACTTCAAAGGCTAATAAAAGTGACACGTTTTGGGTTCAATATGAAAAATGAAATGTTATATTTCTATTGGACTCAATGTAAATAAACAAGTATATATATATTTATAGATAATTTCCCCCTAGTTACACTTAATAACCTGTACACTATATACCTTTGTAACAAACCGATATAGTACAAATTCTGTACAAAATATAACTGCATAGATTATATAACGAATTTAATGTGCAATAATGTAAACCCTTAAAGCATTATAAGCAACAAATCACTCAAATAATTTACAGGGCACTTGGTGAATAAGTGTATTTTCATTTACCTATAATAACAAAATAACTGTTAGATAAGGTAAGATACACCAAAATAGAGTGACTAAAAAAAACTAAAAAATAATAATTTTCTTCCCCTCACCAAAAGTGCTAATTTTTGGAAGGAGTACCTATGTACACACACACACACACCACACACACTCCTTCTCTATTTATGTATGTTGATTAATTTAAAAAAGGTTTGTTTTGAATGGCTACATTAAAGCAGCAGAGTTGTTTTTACTGTAAATGTAATTAAAGAGTCCAAAAAGGAGAAAATGTAAAGCAATTCATTGAAATTGTTCCATTTGAATAACTGTCCAAAATTTGCTGAAGTAGGTTTGTACGGTGGTACAATATTAAAAGGAAATAAAATGCCAGTATATTGTTGCACTGATGAAGTACTGCATTAAAAAGCAGATTATGATGAATGCTAATGTAGTCCAAGTGAACATGGCACCCAAATTTCCGGAGTAAAAAAAAAAAGAAAAGAAAAAAAGTAATGGAAAGAATAAAATATATAAATTTAACACGAAAAACGAAGAACAGACTAACATTGCTTTGTCTTTACACTTGACCTTGTGCGGCTTTCTCAAGATAATATACATTAACCAAATGGCGTTTTAGATGCTTTGTATATTCTTCTTCTTTCCTGAAAGCACGATCACAGAAGATACAAACAAAGTTTTCACTTGCAACATTACTTTTGGAAGCACTCGGTTCTACACTAGACTTGGGTTCTGGCTGTTCTTGCACAGATGGCACGCCATTTAATCCAGAGTCATCACTTCTTTCTGATACATTGTCACTTATATCACTGCCATCATGACTATGTATTCCTTCATCTTCCTCAGTATCAAGCGATTCATTGCTGGAAACATCGCACGGAGAGACCTTAATCTCTTTTGGTTCACAGTCATTCACACTCTTAGTACAACATTCTACTAGCAAATTCTGGGTTCCAATGGATTCTTCTGGTTTTAGCGATTCCGCATTTATTTTTGGTTTGTCCAGCTCGATGGGTTCCATACATATTTCTACATTGCAAGGGTTTTCTGATATTTCTTGTGATGAATCATTACTTCTTTGAAAATCAGAAGTTTGTTCTGATATCTCCTGTCCTAGGACCTCATTTATGTGTACATTGGAAGTATGTTCTGATTTGTCCTCCCCTTCCAGATTCTTATCTTCTTGAACAAAACTGCAAACCTCTTCTGGCCTCTGTTGGACTTCGAGCAACTCCTTTGCATCTAAACTGCAAGACTTGTCGGACACATCCTGTCCTTCATTTTCCTTGCCTATTTCTAGCTTGTCATCCTTTTCCAATTTATTTTGTTCTTGTGGTTCCTCACTTTTTTCCACACTGCAAGCATTTTCTGAGGTATCAGAAGGACAGTTCGTAGTGGGTGCTTCATTAGAATCTGAAACTTCAACAAGTGGTGTGACTTGGGAATTAAAACTCTTGGAGAACTCATTCACTTGCACACTTTCAGAGTCCTGGTCACTTGGTGTCTGGAAGTTGGACTCTGCTTCAACTGCAATGCTGCTAGGTGTCACAACATCTAGGCTAGCAGCATTTTTATCATTCTCAATTGGTAACTCATTTGACACATTTAGATCTTGAGTGGGCAAATGCAAAGCAACATTGCTGTTGCAAGTGGGTACATGAACTATTACACTATCATTTATTTTACATTCCGTGTGTACTTCTTTATTATCCTGAGGATCTGCAGTTGGAATTGAAACATCCTCCTCCCTTTCTGCACACTCCTGGACAGATGTTTCTCCAGTACACGTTGTCAAAGTAGAGCCAGTATCATTGACCTGGGTTTTCTTTTTTGGAGAGTTTTCTTTTTCCACATTTTTATCTGAAACTGTTTTTTTAGATTTCATCTTCAGTTTCTTTCTCTTGCCTTGTTCGATAGCTTTCTTTTTTTCATTCTTGATGGAAAGTTTGTTTTCCTTAATTTTTTTCATGCGTCGTTTCATTTTATGTGTTTTTTTACTTTTTAATGTCTTTGTAACTACTGCTACTTGTGAGCCCTTGTTTTTTTGTACCAGTTTCCTTTTCTTTATATTGATAGTTTCTGCATCACTGGTCTTAGACTGATTTTCAGGCGCAACGGTTGCCTTCCTTTTGCCACATTTAACCTTTGAAGGTATTTCAGTGCTAACTTCATTGCCATCAGGCTTAGGCTGTGAAACGGACCTGCGGCTACTTCTAGTGACCTGCGTAATCACAGGATCAGGAATCTGCTTCTTAGGTTTCACACTATCTTTTTTTTCTACTTTCACGCTCTTTTCAGGTTTCTTTACTTCAGAGTCATTTTCTTTTGCATATTCATTGTCATCCTGCACGTCTATTGCCGTAGTGTCGAGTACGGCTACTTCCCCTTTTTTTGTTCTCAGTTTCACTTTGGACACATCCATTGTAATATCAGAACATCCAGAGTGTCTGGATTTGATGTGATACTGAAGGTTACATTTCTTGGATGCTGCGTAATCACACACAGGGCACAAAAACTGCCGTGGGTTGACGTGTAATTCTACGTGCTTTTTGAAGTTGCTTCGATCAGCAGTCTTGTACTTGCAGTGTGGACACGTTAAAGGTTTTGGCCCGTTGTGGACCTGTCTTGCATGGCGTGTTACTTCATGCTGATTTGATGCAACATAACTGCACTGTTCACACTTGAAAGGCTTCTCACCTGTATAAAGAGATAACACCAAAAGAAACGATGGTAAGAGCTAGCAGAAACATAATTCAGGTTAAAATAAAAACACACAAAAACAGAAAACATTTACCACGTTACTAGAAATTTAAAAAATAAAAATATATATAAAAGGAAAGGGAAAATGCAAATACAAAATAAGATACACACATGCTATAATTTATAGAACATTATAGAATTCATACCCGTCTGCTCCATTGAAGGCATTGCAAGTAAAACAAAATTTTTGTTAATGCTTTTGTTTCAGAGAAAAAAAAACAAACACACAAAACAACATTTTTGCATTTTAAACGTAATGTTAAAAAGGCAATACCATCAATTAAGGGAAATACATTTTCAATTTGTCATGCTTATTTTGTGTAATGTAATGTTTAAGATCCTTAAATGAATCGTCCATAAATGTAAGGAAAAACATTCTGATAGAATTTATATAAAGCTACATATTGCTATATTGGATAGAATTAACAAATGTAATTATAGAAGCACTATTTTTCACCTCTTCCTCTCACTCTGCATTATTGTGTATGGAAAAGGATTTAAAAAATCCATGTCCATACAATTAAAAAGTAACTACTCACCTATCCATGCAACTAAATATCAGCTAGTATTTCCTATGCCCTAGCAATTGTTTATCTTGTTTAACAATTAGGTCACATTACATCATGAATTTAATACAAACATCTTATAAGTATTTCATACTGTATACCAGGTGTGCCAAAAGGTAGATCCCCAGATGTTTTAGAACTGCACCTTCCATGATGCCTTGTCATTTTAAAAGCACCCAAAAGGCTTGCAAAGCATAATGGGAGTTGTAGTTCTACGATATCTTGGGATCAGCCTTTTGGGCACCCCTGCTCTGTACTGTAACTGATCGCATCAGAAAGTAATTTAAAAAGTTGATCAATGATTTTGATTGGACTTGTTTAGTGCTGTTTTCTTTAAATCAGATTTATTTTAAACTCTCCACATTGATTTTTGATTTGTACAATAGTACAGAATGACTTTGTTTGCGACCAACCTGAATGTGTCCTCATATGTCTTGTCAGGTGGGTTTTTTGTGAACTTGAGTAAGGACACATGATGCATTGATAAGGCCGTTCTCCTAAATGCAAAAACAAAACAAACATTTATTAGTTGCTACAATTAAGAATTTAGTCTGTTTTATATAAACTTTTTTTTTTAATGAATAACAGTTGCAGACAGAAATTAAGCAGGGGAAATGCATATTTATATATCAACAAAATCATGACAACTATTTTAATGACAAAGCAATCAAAACCATAAACAAAGTAAGAACAAGAAGGGTAAAGGCTTAGGTACAAAGAGGGATGAAAGACAATACAGCCATTATATAGTGAGGGTGTGGTAGAGAATGCAATAATATGAGTGGTTATATAGAAAAGGCCAGTTTTTGCTGATTGGTTGGGCAAAAGGCAGATGAGTCAACCCAGTGTTCAGGGCTTAAAGGGGTAAAAAAAAAGGTTTTGCTCTAAGTTTGAATACATTCAGATAACCTGAAATAATGTAGCAGTCATGTCTGTTAGACAAAATAGGGACCAATTCTTCATTAATAAAGATCTCCTCCACTCAGTGTATGCTCACTGGAACAGTTCTAAGACCCAGTAGGAAACTATCAGCTGTGAGCTGCATTCATCAGATGTGTAGTGACATGTAGCAGAATGTCACAACAGAAAAAAGTACAAAGTGCAGTAATAGGGCTTTGTGTGTAAGTGATGGGATTATGGGCAGATATTTTAGTGTGGACCAGAAGGGTTTGATCAATTCATAACTTGAGCATGTATCAACAAGACTATTTATGAAATGACCACATCTGCAGCATGAAAAACTGACAACCAAGTAGTCTGAAGAATCTGAGTAGACTCTAGTATAACAGAATATTGTACATTCTTTTTATATATGATTTATTGGCAAGAAGAAAGGTTATTCTCCCAGTATTGAATTGTCATCAAGAAGACTAAGGAACTTAAAGGGACACTATAGCCACCAGAACAACTACAGCTTAATGTAGTTATTATGGTGTGTATAGTATATAGTATATGTCCTTACAGGCATTTTAATATAAACAATGCTTTTTCAGAGAAAATACAGTGTTTACATTGCTGCCCAGGGACACCTCTAGTAGCAGTCACTTAGACGGCCACAAGAGGTGCTTCCTGGGTCAGTGATGAACGTTCAGCATCTCCATGCAGAGCGTTCTTCACAGAGATGCATTGATTCAATGCATCTCTATGAGGAGATGGTGAATGGCGCAGTGCTGCCTTTTGCCATGCATGCACAATAGCCTCCCTATAGTTTCCTATGGAAGAGCACTGGATTAGTTGAGATCATCAAATCTGATGATAGCCAAGGAGGTGCAGCGGAGCCAGCCACGAGGAGGCCAAGGGGGCGCTGAAAATAAGGTACTTAATCTCACCTATTAAAGGCAGGAGACAGGGTCTGGGGGGCCTAAACAGTGGTCTTATAACCTTAGTATCAGGAATACACGTTTCTATTCCTGACACTATAGTGTTCCTTTAAGCTTTAGAGAAGAAGGAATTTACATAAACAGGTACTACTGCAGTGGGCCGGAAGGTAACTCAGTGCTTGAAAGATATTGTCAGGGTGATTAAAGACAAGGAGAACCGTGGGAAGAATCCAACAAGCCAGCTCGTGATACTGACATTTTTTCCATAAAGAGGGATTGTCTAGGTCCACCATGTATAAGAATGGGATATGGAAACATGTCTGACTTCTAGAGGTTCAGTAACAAGGTCCACACGTCAACTACAAAAATCAGGGCTAAAGGGGGCTGGTAGTTAAACTTGTATATTGATGTGATATCCGACAGACATTGAATGTCGAGGAAAGAAAAGTTATCTTTGCACCATCTGAAATCATGTTGAGTTGTGAAGTGCAGCTACAGGATATGGTTAGGAGTAAGATCTCACATTCTGAATACATTTTGAGACTGTGAGAAAAATATCAATATGTTGAATATTTTTCAGAGTGTTATATGGGAATGTCATTGGTGTAGGGTATGATTCTAATTTCTCTGGATGTACACCTTTATTGATGAGCTGGAATGAGTGACACTGAAGAAGGATTCTTTACCAATGATGAATAGTAAAGGGAATATAGAATGTCATATAGCACAGCTGCAGTTGCATAGCTTCCAAATGCCCTTATTTGGGAGAGGCAGTCTCTATTTTTGGCACAAAATTCACCTGTCCCTTTTTTCTTTCCCAATATTGTTGGTATGCCTGAGTGTATAACAGAGCTCCACAGCAATAATACTTACATTAACATGTCTTTAAAATACAATAAATGTGTTTAGAATTCAGTTTGTGTGAACTGATATTAGCAAGCCACCCAAAATTGCTCCAAACAGCAAAACATGTTGGCCCAAACCAACCAACAATGTAGGCATGATATGAAAGACTAATATGCCCTACTGAACTCTTTTATTTGGTATCAATAAGTAAAGTTCAAGGCATTAAGCCCTATGGATAATATTAAATTGATATATTGTGTTATCCCCATCTTTCCTTTCAGAGACAAAGCCGAATTGGTCCAGATTAATCAAAGATGCTATCTGTAGATTAAATGGATGGGAAAAATATCTTAAATGTTGGTGTTCAACACTGAGATCAAATTATAGCTAAGGCAGGGCTTAAAGGATTACTCAGAGCACCATGACCACTTAATTATTTCAAGCGTTTGAAATGCTGCACATACAGAGTTGAATCCCACAACTGCTGGAGGTGCAAGTGCACCTCTGGCAATGTCATTAACTAGCCCAGAACAAAGTTAGGGCTGGCTAATATCAATTCTGTGCAAATTGGCATATGACACCAACATGCTGGTGACAGACAACCAATGGCGGCACAGCCCTACCGTTCGTCCTCTCTCATCTTCATCTCATTCCGGCAAGGGGAAATTACGTTGGTAAAGGAGAATTGGGTTGAGGGGAGAACTTGGACACTGTGTTGGTAGATGAGTAGATGAGTTTTAGCTATTTTATTTTTAAAACGTGTGTGTGTGAGGATGCACAGGGATTCCAATTCCAAATATGCCACAAAAGCAAAGGGAAAAAAATAAAAGAAAACTTTATATACTGGCAAGAAATTTGTCTAGCATAAAATACAAAAAAAAAAAAAAAGGTCATCATATAGGACATGATTTAAAAGCATTTACATTGTTAACTTTATGACAATTTGGCTGCAATTATAATCTGTTTCACCACTATTAATATAAGCTGATGCTTTCAAACAGCATTGAACAGAAGGTCAGACTGCTCAGGGCTGAATTGCAACATGACAATGGCCGCTGGTTACAGCAACGGAAGGGTTCTTGACTTACAGTGTTTTGCGCGTTACTGTTCCGATACTGACCCTTAAAATTTCTAACCAAAGTTTAGTGCAGCATCAAACTATTGGAATTCACACCAAAAAAAAAAAAAAAAAAAGTGATATGTGCATATTATTTCAATAATTAAAAGACGTTTTAACAGGGGCCCATAACATAGCCATAAAAAACATTGTGGAAGACAGTCTATAGAGATATGGATTGTAGTGTGACTCAATGGAACATTGATTTGTAAGTAATATTAGAATTGGCAACAGTGCAGAGTTGTATAATTCACACAAACAAAAAAAAACAATTATAGAAAGGGGATCTTTGGAGGCTTTGCTCAATTGAACTTACACTCTATGAGGTAGGAGGATATATATCTCTAGGTGTCTTGTCAATGCAGGACCTACTTTGTTTCACAAACAATAGCTGATTTTTGGCAAAATGTGGTAAAAGCCAAGTTTTAAGCAACTTCTGCCTTCCTAGATCATTGAGAATGTACTATAACATCTATGCAGGATCTGCAATATTCTACAGCCCTTGCACACTTTGAGAATACATTAGTGACATGACTCCAACCAAGTAGGTGAAGCCAACAGTAGCTGAAGGGCTGAACCAGAAGATGGAGGTATGAAGTCAGTATAGACAATTTACCCCTCTCCCACAGACAGGAGATATGTCACATTTCAGAACTGCTTTAAATAGGCAGAACGAAGTGTGGCGGGTAGTGTCTGTGAGTAAGTTACTGACTATGTTGGTTACATAAACTTAAAGGATCACTATAGTGTCAGGAAAACAAACCCATTTTCCTGACACTATGTCATCCTTGGGGGACCCTCACCCTCAGGGGGCCCCTCCCATGGATAAAACCCCTTCAGCAGCTTACCTTAATTCCGCGCCGGGCTTCCTCAGCGCTGGGATACAAATTTCACATCCTGCGCCGCAGAAGCGCCTCTCAGGAAGACAGCCATTAGAGGTTGGATTAACCCCGCTATGTAAACATAGCAGTTTCTCTGAAACTACTATGTTTACATGTGATGGGTTAAAACCTGAGGGACCTGGAACCCAGACCACTTCACTGAGCTGAAGTGGTCTGGGTGACTAAAGAGTCCTTTTAAGCTGAGTCATAGGTGGCTTAGTCATATTTTTGTGTATTTATTATCCAGTTTGTACTAGCATCTAGCTTTACATTTCACGTATGAGACTCATCATGTGAAACCAATCAATAACTTCTTAGAACATCTCCAGATTTCTCATATGCATATATTGTTTTATTAATGAAATATGTACTAAAAGTTTCTCCACATATTTTTACTATGTATCGTATTTTACAAACAATCATTCGACTTAATTTTTTTTTTTAAAGACACCACTAAAGCAAAAAAAAAAGTCATTCAATTAGCAGTTTTTCCAATAACACGCAAAAACACGCTACAACAAACAAACAAAAATAGCATTTACCACCCCATTTCCCAATAGTTTTACAATATACCAAGGTAACTCTAGTAAGGCAATACTGAGTGGAGTGTATTAGAATTATGTTTGCTGTGTACAAATCAGTCTCCCAGAAGATGTAAAGTGTAATTATTTGCCATTTTTAAACACTGACTTTCAATATTGGGCATTTGAGGCTATGGGCCACCTTTCAAAGAGGTTCAATTAAGGGTGCATACATGGAGCAATATTAAAATGATACTAGGATACAAAAACAGAACATTTTAATCGTAGTGGTTTTGGTACAAATACCCTGTCCCTGCAGTCAGACACATGTAAGCACTTTTAATCAGACAGCCAACAGAGGCACTTCCTCGTGGAAGCTTTGTTTGTTTGAAAAAAGGGGGAGAGGAGGGAAGTGTGCAGTGTAAGCAACACTTGAACATTAAAAATAAATATATTCATTTTTAATATTAAAGTTGCCCTTTGAAAATATCAGCAGATGTTTTTCTTCCTATGCAAGTATAAACATTTTTTCTTACATAAAAGAGTGTTAGTTGTACTACACTTTTAACTGAAATATATGATTAGAAACAGAAAGCGATACAAGTTTCTGCTACTCCTCACACCAGTGGGCCTGTGCGCCAGAGAGGTAACTTAATCTCTTTGTGTCCAGACAAATGTGAGCAGGGATGGGGGATTCCTATTTCCCAGGACAGTCAGTTCCAGCCGCTGGGCAGAAAGATTTTTTTCCCCCCCTCTTTATCCCCGCAGAGGGCATGCAGCATGCCAGATGCAGGATAAGGCCATGAAGCCTGTGGTTTGCAGCTTCATCTGGTGCAAAGCACAGTAATCGCTTCCTCAAAATCCTGCACTCACTAATAAGCACCAGACCACGAGGTAGCAATTACTGTGCTTTGCATCACAAAGCCCTCATGCTTTAATTTTTTAACCCCTGCTGGACCACCAGGGGTCATAGCCACCCCGCAAGACAGAAATGTAAAACAGAGCACCCTTGCACACAGCCAACAAACCCCCCACTCATTGCACACCACACACAAACATACTAAACACAGTCAGCGTGCACACACAAACACTACACAATGCAAGCACACTATGAGTAAACACAGAGGGAGAGACACTCTAGGTAGGGGCCTCAGTATTTCTAATTAAAATTATTTTGTGGTTCAGGACAAGTAGCTTGTCATGAGGGACATGTGGATTGGGTTACCACCTTAGTCCTGTGGACAAGTAGAATTTTTTTTTTCCACACCCACAATTTCCACAACCCTGAGTAAGTGACAGTGAGCCTGGAGTAAAAAAAAAAAAAAAATACTGCAGTGTATATTCCATATTCATGAACACATGTTTATTTCAGGTATAAAATATGCTTACCTGTATGGGTCCTTATATGCTGAATATAATTATTTTTGCGGTCTGAAAAATATGAACATTGCGAGCACGTATAGACGATCCTTGGAAAGTGATTACGCAGGTGTTTCTTCCAGTGGTACTCGCTGACCGTAGTATAGGTGCATATAGTGCACTTGTACACCCTCTCGTTTTCACCAACTTTGTTGTGGTGCTTCAAATGAGCCAGATAGTGATCAAATCGGTTGGTATTGTAGCCACACCGATCACATCGTATAGGTCCTTTGGAGAAGTCAGCTTCCTCTGGTATAGAAGAATCGGATTCCTTGGTCTCTGTGTTTTTCGGAGATTCATTATCAATGAAAGGCTTTGCACTGTGTGACTTGATATGAAGAACAAACTCTTCCTCGTTTTCTGCCCTGTACTGACAAGGTTTGCACCTAAAAGGTTTACTTTTGAGGCACTTATTTTTGTCTTCTGTAACAGCAGGAGTTTCCGCATCCTTTTCTGGATCCGTATTTACCGGACTAGATGGAACAGTTAATTCAGTATCACATGCAGTTTCTTTCTGGCTTTCAGGGGGTTCCACCTCCATGATTTGAAATACACTGGAGTCATTGTCCACATTGTGGGACTCTTCCATCCTTTCCCCCTCACTGTCCGAGAAACTATTGTCATTAACTGTTGTTAGCTCTGCCATTTGCCTTTCTTCTTCCATGATGTAGTCACAACAGTTGCCATTAACCTCCCCGGTTAGAGCCACATTGGCCAGCATAATCAACCGAGGGGCTGCCATATCAGCTTTAGAAAGATCATGTAACCCGTACATATCCCCATCCAGTGAAATTCCATAATTGCCATTGTTGCCAAACAAGCCACTGCCACCTGCTTGGCTAACCATTTGAGTAGCCATGGTGGGATCTGCAAAGAGAGCCAAGAAAAGACAATTAATCACAGATAAACAGAACACTTAATCAAATTAACCACACACTGTATTGTAATGATCACAATCTATACAGGTAAGGAAATGATATTGCAAATAGCTATATACATACAAACATACATACACGCACACAATGGAGATAAGTATCGGGACACACCTCTTAATTATTGAATTTAGGTGTTTCAATCAGACCCATTGCTACAGGTGTATAAAATCAAGCACCTAGCCATGTCGTCTGCATTTACAACATGTGTGAAAAAAACAATAAATGGGTCATTCTGAAGAGTTCTGTGAATTCAAGCAGGGTACTGTGATAGGAAGCCACATTTATAATGTGAAATGTAATTTATTGTATATGAGTGCAAATGCTTAGTGAGTAAACCCCTAAATAATCAATCTGGGGTGACACTACTTTTCCTATTATAGACTGAATTAACAGTTCACTTTGATCGGTCCACCTTCCCAATGTAGGTCAGATAGATTGGGTACTTCGTATCCAGTAGCAGGTGACTAAATGTATCTAACTGGCAGTTTAATTGCTGTATCCATTAGAATGTATTCACTTCAAATGTCTTAAAAAGATACAAGGAACATAATATAGTAGAATAATGTAATTATTCTATTCCCAAAAGCCCTTCACCCTATATGAAACTCTTACACAATAAAAATGTGGCTGTTGTCTCCAATAACCACAAACAGCACACAGTATAAAACAGTAGTTTTGCCGGGCTCTAATACCACTCTGCAGATACACTCCAATACACCAGTCTCATGTGCGTTAGCCAGGATGGGTGACCCAAGAACCAGAGGGACCTTGCAGCAGCAACAGCTGAATACCTTCTGTAAGCTTTTAGCATGCGAGCCACTCTCTACATCAAAACATTTCGCCCGCTCCCCACGGGCCCTTTCAAGATAAAGATATCACCCCTGCTAGATTATTCTATGGTCAACTATAAGTTGTATTATTTTGAAAGTGGAAGCGTTTAAGCACAGCAGCAACTAAGCCACAAAGCGGAAGACCACGTAAAGTCACAGGGTGCTGAAGCGTGTGGTGGGTAAAAGTCACCAACTTTGCAAACATCCACTGGCATTAATATTTGCACAAAAACTGTGAGGCAGGAGCTTCATGGAATGGGTTTCCTTGGTTGAGCAGCTGCATGCAAGCCTCATTTTACCAAGTACAATGCCAAGCGTCTGATTGAGTGGTGTGGAGAACTCCACTACTGGACTCTAGAGCAGTGGAAACATGTTCTGTGGAGTGATGAATCACGCTTCTCTGTTTGGCAGTCTGGTGGGAGAGTCTGGGTTGTACCAACTGTAAGGGTTGGTGGAGGAGGAACAATGGTATGGGGCTGTATATCAGTGACCGAGCTGGGCTCCTTATTTCCAGTGGAGGGAAATCTTAATGCTTCAGCATACCAAGACATTTTGGACAATACTATGCTTCAAACTTTGTGGGAACTAAGGAACTATTGGGGATCCTGATTCACTGTTAAATCATTTAAAAACAGAATGCAAATGAAACTGAAGACAGCAGGGGATTTAATGACATGAAGTGATTATTGTGCTCACAGTGTTTCTTTCACTATGATATTTAAAGTAGCAATGCCACTTATGAGTGTTTCATATAAAAAATATTATTTGAAAACACAAAAATCATTGCATTGGAATTTCTTTGATAAGAGCAGAAGACAAAGAAGGGGTTATTTTGTTTCCTATGCATCTTCGAGCATGAGTCACAAACTATTTTCCCATGATGCCATTATAAAAGTGGAAAAATCACATTTGGGCTCTATTAACAAAAAAAAATAAAAAAAATTCCAAGAACCCACAGGTGACAGTTCATTTTAATGATTCTGATTTTTAGCATTATTTAGGCCAGAACTGTTGTAATAAACTAATAATTTTTTATTTTTTTTAAAGGCACAAATTGGAATACTGGCAAACCATATCAAGTTTTAAAGTGTATCCATAATTAAATAAAATACACGGACAGGCAAAAACATTTTATTCTGGATGAACTTCTGGAAATATATTTTAAATGTTACTTATTTCTAGGCATTTACCGTTAAGCTACTGGAAAGGACATTCTGAAAAGTCTTTAAAATTCGCTCAGCAGAGTGTTGACTTACTTTACTGAATAGCAATTTTCAAATAGACCTCAATGGAGGAACTGCTATTCAGTAAGCAAAGCATACCTTTACTCTGCTAAGAGAAACCAGCTCACGGTGTCCATATGTGACTTCACATGCAGTCAAACAGTGGCACGCTAGCATACATTTGTGTGCTAAGAATTCCAGAATGGCTTTCATTTTGCTTGTTCAGTAGGTTGACTGTGCATGCATTATTATTATTTATAAAGCGCCAACAAATTCTGCAGCGCTGTACAATGCATCCACTGAGATCTTCAGTAAATATTTTTTTATGCATACAATTGCTGGGGATTTCCCCAGCACATTGCATAGGTTAAATATATTCCTATCTACAGGTGACCTTGTGATGATCAACATGTTTTGTAAATCCACTTCAATAACAAGCAAAATTTTATAAGTATTAAGATCATTATGGTTATTTTATATTTAAAAATAATTACGTGATGCTTTAAATATTATACACTTTGTGGCTCTGGTGATAATCCGTAAACTGGTAATTCCTACAATGAGAAGAAAAACGTTCAACGCATACATCTACTATAACATTGTAGTAGACTCCATGCAATGCAGCAATGAAGTTGCGAGCGAGAAAGAGGAATTTGATTCTTGAATATAATGAAAAAATGAATACTAGCTAGCTACAACAGGATGGAGCAAATGCCGAAAAAAGTAAAATGAAATGTGAAAGAAACCAATGAAAAGAGCAATCGAATCGGGTAAATGGACAGGAAGAGAGCTCCCAGCAGGAATGACAAGTAAACAAGAATTCACAGCAGGGTGTGTGAATTATAAATGAAATAAAGGTGAGGTTGTTTAACATAGAATACAAGAGAGCTTCTCATGCCATTGTACAAGTCACAGGATGCTTTGTAAATACATCTATGGCAGCTACTGGTGAATATACTGGCCCATGGCAATATGGGTTTATATTTAAATGTGTATATCCTTGCACAATATTTCAAGAATGTGGTAAAAATAGAATATATTTTAGATTACGGTTTAATCTCTACTTTTTTTTTATTTGCATACCAATAACGTCATTGGAAGTATCCTGGTAAGGTGAGAAACACTTTGAACTTTTTTCTTTAGCACTAAAAATGTTTTCCCTACATGTATTGCAAGTTATTTTGTTCAAGATCTGGAGCAATAAATCTCAACTACTTTTATGGTGAGTACTGTCTGCAGCGTATATTTTAATGTGTTCTAGAAGCTGCCAGCAGCTTTATTCCGCACTGTGAGAAACTGCACATAAATAGTTTAAACCCTCTACTGTCGGGAGTGTAGCACCACCTCTGGGGGTGTCACTGGGGCATCATCAGTCAACCTGAAACAAGAGTTCCGAGCTGGCTAATGTTAATTATGTGCATGGAATTACATTAATTGACTTTGATTATTCAGTTGATAATTCTCAGCAAATTAATGGTTGTTAGGATCATCTTTCAGCTTCTGCAGCTTTGTAGACGCCGGATGGATGTTGACAGTTGGCGCCGGCGTGGATCCAGGTAAGAGGGAATAAAATAGTTTGCCCAATTATTGGGAAATGGGGACAGGGTACTTCTGGCATCTTAACCACTATAGCAGGCTGCAGTGGTTATGATGCTTAGAGTAAAAATTTAAATGAAAGAAAAATGCAAGATTTAGGTATGGATTTTTATACAAGTCCAAAAAAATGATGTCTTTTCTTGTAATCAGTTCTCATTCTAAAGGCCAACAGTTATTTCACACCCACTACAGCTCATCTACTTTAGTAGCTGTGATTATGTCTCTGGTGGGGGTCCTCGTTTTTTGCCAGAGATTATTCAGCTGCATGTTACTTATGTATCCACAGTTTCTTTATGCTTAAAATGCTGATGGTGCTGTCTCGCAAGTTGAATACCGGTTACATACCTGTTTTTTTTTTTTTTTTAATTTATATTATGTATGAATTTATACACTAAAGTTTGTTTCATAAACAAAAAATCCTGGTGGGTGAGTGAGGCCTAGTATCACATTTACAAAGTACAGGAAAAACTCCCTCATAAAAAACAAAAAACACCTCAACACTTAAAATAAGAAAATAGACTAAAAACACACAAAAACTGTGGAATACCTGCACAGATTGCAACACAGAAAAAAAAATTTGTATGGGTCTACTTAACATTTGTTGTCTATATTTTACACCAAATTAATGAAAGAGAGACAATGCTGACAGTTAAAAAAATAGTTAAGATGAACCTCCCTGCACATATATGGGGATAGGCAAACGCGGCCATTTTCTCAATGCACAAAACAGACTTTTCCAACTAGTGAACTAACATCCTAGCAACTCTTCTCCTCCCTACAGCCTGCCTCTCAGTTTGTGTAATGAAACCTGTGCTGTAATGGAGGAACACAAACCCCCCTGTCCCTCCATTACTCCCTGAAAAGTCATTCTGAGCAGCAACATTACAATGTATCTCGGGTTCTACATTCTATTCCTGACTAGAAGCAGAGAATCTGCCTAAAAAGTTGTGATCTACTAACAAACTTTTGGAAAGCACGCCCAGCTCCCTCTGCAGCGTCGCTTTCTCCCCAAACCCACCGAGTTCCACAGGGAGGGGTCAAAGCAAATGGTATATTTATTTGTTTTGTAGCACCTCGAGCTGTACCCTTTAGGATTGAATCCTCAATAAAAAGTTTGTAATGAACAATCGGAGCGATTAGTGACATGACAAGCGCTGTGTTTTTTTCTCTGTGTTGGCGAGGAATGAACAAAAAATATATATATATATATATATAAATAAAGGGTGAGGCAAAATATAAAAATTAACATAATAAACAACAACTGCTTTCAGCCTTCTAAGTGTCTATTATGCCCGATGGCAGCTGAGAAAACAGCTGAGGGTGGGAAGAAGGGGCTGCCATGAACACACGCAACTCAGCAGGGAAGGAGAGACAGATCGCTGTCCAGCTTCAATGAGCGAGATCGGGCCCAGAGATCAGCTAACAAAGTTACTCCTACCGGCCGCAAATCAGCCCTGCCTGGGGTACAAAATATATAAAAAATATAAGGTGTATTGAGGAGAAAATGCACAAATTGCTGGTGGTTGGAAGGGGGGGTGGGAGGGGGAGACGATCTCTGGGGTCAGGAAGTGATCATGGTAAAAATATGAAAAAAGTAGCAACATAGTGATAATTATGAATATGTTCCAGGATAGGGATGCATTAAATGTTTGTGCTGTTATGGGTGAAGAGAGAAATAAAAATATATATATTTTTAAGAACTTGGGACAGGTTCATGGTTACTTTAATGAATACAACTCCCTCCCCCCACTGCGGAGGTGAGCAAGTAACATAATGATCAGCACCAAGGAGGGGGGAAGAGAGGAACTGCGTTTGTGTTATTTAAACTTCGGTAGAAATTAATAAAAAAAAAAAAGAAGTTATAACTGCTTTCTAGTTTATTTTAAAAAGGAATCAAACGTGCAAAAGTAACTACAGTTGGGATCACAAGATTTCTGTTAAATCTAAACTACTAGTGTGTACAAAAATACACGATCTGATTAAATAACCCGAGGTATTAGTAGTTATGGAGTATGTTTCCTATTATGCAAAGACACAGTGTGCCTGAGGATCATGGGAATTGTATTCCACGACAGCTCCCCCCCCCCCGGTTAGTCATAACTGCCATCGGGAGTCCAGCGAAAACAGCGCTCTATGTAAAGCAGGATCCTGTGAGGAGATCAGCCCTGGACAGCGCCTCTCGCTTCACGTACACCAACACATGAAGCACTAGTTGCATGTCATCAAGGTTAGAACAAAAGCACATTCAACGCTCAGCAGCTTGACCGCCCCGGGATTCCACGCGTAGAACGTTCACTCACACAGTGTTCTACGGGGATTCCATGACCCTGCACCCACCGATGGCCTGAGACACTCGCTCCAATAACTTCAAGTTGACTCCAAGCATACAACAACACTCCCTCCCCCAACCTCCGGTTCCGGACTTTTCCCCAAATATAAATAAATAAAACACTTCCCCAACATCTAGTACTCTCACCTCTTTAGTGGCTCGCTCCACTCACTCAATGAGTACAGCCACTCAAACTCCGAGGAGTAGTAACCGTGAATTCACCGACCAATCGATCAGATTTCGCAGGCAAACCCTCGCAGAAGTGTACTCGGCTCGCATTCCAGCACACGCTGCACTTCGGCTGCCACTCCCCCTCCCCCCTCTCTCTCTCTCTCTCTGCGCGGCGCGGTGAGCGAGCACGTCTCGATTACTCGGCTCTGAGCTGGGCAGTAAAGCGCGCACCCGGCGACAACATGCTTCCTGCTGTCCTTTGTTTGCCCAGTCATCACATTCTGCTTCGCGCGCCCCCGATGGCAGCTTAGGTTTTTTTTTTAGTGTTAATGGGGGAGACAAGGCCATGTCTAGGCTTAGAGAGTGTGGCTGAAACATTACCTCAGACATAAAAAGGGAGTGGGGTGACTGGGACTGCACACTAATTACTGCTGTAGTCTTTTGTTAAAAACAAAACAAAGCCTTGTGTAAATCAAAGACCTATTGTAATGGATCTATGAGGAAAGCTTGTGAATGTGTAGTATTTATTTTATTTATTAAGTAAATAAGTTGTGTCACCTTTGTACTCATTTATATTTTAAAATGTTGTGAGGCATGTATTCATAGGTGTATATGCCTCACTATAAATTAGTTTTACATTTCTATTTGTTTAACTGTGCTGTATGCTTTTGAGACCGTTCTTCCCTATTAAGTTAACATAGAAACATAGAATGTGATGGCAGATAAGAACTGTTTGGCCCATCTAGGCTCCCCAATTATCTAAATACTTTTATTAGTCTTTGGCCTTATCTTAAGTCTAGGATAGCCTAATGCCAATCCCATGCATGCTTAAACTCCCTCACTGTGTTAACCTCTACCACTTCAGCTGTAAGGCTATTCCATGCATCCACTACCCTCTCAGTAAAGTAATACATCCTGAAATTATTGTATGTGAAGACAGGTTTTTGTATATCTAGAACAGGGGGAAGCAACTTGGGCACTCCAGATGTTTCAGATTACACCTCCCATGATGCTTTGCCAGCATTATGGCTGTACAAGCATTGTGGGATATGTAGTCCACAACATCTGGAGTGCTGAAGTTTGCCTACCCCTGATCTAGAATGTAAGCTCGTTTGAGCAGGGCCCTCAACACCCTCTGTTCCTGTGGATTCAGCTTGTATTGTTGCAAATACGTGTCTGTTAGTCCACCTATTGTACAGTGCTATGGAATTTGTTGGCACTTTATAAATAATAATATGTACAAAACTGGATTTTCTTCTTATTTGCCTCTAGGCACCAAGATTACAGGATCAACTGTCCTTTTTTTATTATTATTAAATATGTTTGCTGTCAGGGTATGTTGAGCAGCAGTGCGGGCATGAGTGCATAGATGGGATATAGTCTAGAAACTTGGCATAATTATATGGTGAGTTCTTATTTTCTACACTTTTGTAAAATATTTTTGCAAATGTATTAACATTTAAGCAGGCATAGTATCATATATGTTTTCCTACATTCTATAACTGTTGTCAAACCCTAGACTCAGATGACACCTCTCTAAGACGACTCTGAGGTGGCACTCATTTGAGTGCTCAATTGGAGGCCAAATTAAATGTTTCACGCTAAGGAGCTTAATGCCCCATTGCATGATCCTTGGGTAAGCTATTGTAAGTGCTGATGTCAGAGCACATAAAACACTTTGAAAAATTGGAAGTGGACTGAAACACAAGAAATTAAGAGAAGAAACAAGAATGAATAAAAGCAGGAATTCTAGTTGGGAGAATTGGCAGTGATGTAACAAATAGCAAAGAAGGGACGGAGGGGTGGAAGGGTGAATGAAAATTAGGCTGGGCACTTTCAGTCCTATTCTCGGTTTCTGTAGAAGACGTTGCACAAAATGTTTGTCATCAATGTCCCTTTTAATGTCCCTAATGCTGAAACTAGGCTCACTTTCTGGTCAAGTGGACAATTTTTACATTTCTCATAGTACTATCAATGTTGTGTGTTTAAAACGTTAATTAGTGCTCACTGTATTAGTGACACAGGTCATTGTTCCATAGCTTAAACAAATGATGTGTAAATGTGACTTTAATTTGATGAAGGCTTTGTTAACTTCAACTGAATGGAAGATATTCTCAATTTTAAAAGGGTACTGCAGGTATGGGAAATTAACTGGACTGGTAGTGGACAACACTGGGTTTCCTCCTTTTTGATACTTTGCCAGGTCTTTACTGCAGCTCTCTTCAGTTGTTGTTTGTCTGTGGGTCTTTCTGCCTCAAGTTTTGTCTTCAGCAAGTGAAATGTGTGTTTGATTGGGTTGAGATCAGGTGATTGACTTGTCCATTGCAAAATATTTCACTTCTATGTCTTAAAAATCCCTAGGTTGCTTTTCCAGTATGTTTTGGGTCATTGTCCATCTGTAAAGTTAAGTGCTGTCACTGAATTTTGCTGAATCTGAGCAGACAATATATCCCTATACACTTCAGAATTCATCCGGCTGATTCTGTCTTCTGTCACATCATCAATAAACACTAGTGACCCAGTGCCACTGGAGGCTATCACACTGCCTCTCCACTGTGTATTATAGTTGATGAGGTATGCTTCCGATCATGAGGTGTTCCAAGCCTTCTCCATATTGTTTTCTTCCCATCAGGTTAATCTTAGTTTCATCTGTTCAAAGAATGCTGTTCCAGAACTGGGCTGGCTGTTTTTAGATGGGATTTTGACAAAGTTTAATCTGGCCTCTCTTTTCTTGAGGATTATGAATGGTTTGCACCTTGTGGTGGACCCTCTGTATTTGCTCTTGTGAAGTCTTTACTTTATAGTAGACTTAGATAATGATATGCCTACCTCTGGGAGAGTATTCTCCACCTGGCCGGATGTTGTGAAGGTTTTTTTCTTGAACATGGAAAGGATCCTACGATCATCCACCACTGTTGTTTTTCATGAACGTCCAGGCCTTTTTGGGTTGCAGAGCTCACCAGTGTGCTCTTTTTTTCTCAAAATGTACCAAACTGTTGATTTGGCCACTCCCAATGTTCCTGCTATATCTCTGATGGATTTTTTTTTGCTGCCCCAAGATGGCCTGTTTCACTTGCATTGAGAGCTCTTTTGACCGCATGTTGTGGAATCAACTCCAGACCTTTTACCTGCTTAATTGATAAAGAAATGATGAAGGAATAGCCCATATCCGTCCATCAAACAGCTTTTGAGGCAATTGTCTATTTACTTTTGGTCCCATGAAGAAGAGGATCTACATATTAAAGAGCTGTGATTCCTAATCCCTTCCTCCAATTTGGACGTGAATACCCTCAAATTAAAGCTGAGTGACTGCACTCTAAGCCCATATTCATTATTTAACTGTAACTTTAATTATTTTAGTAAACAGCCAAAATAACAAAACTTGTGTCAGTGTCCAATTATTTCCAGTCCTAACTGTACGTATTTGAGACTTGCAGGGCCATTCACTAAAGTGAGAATTGAAAGTGAATTTCAAATGTGGGGCCAAAGTAACCAAACTGGAAGAAAAGTTGACTCGGAATACTTTTTCCAGTTTGGATATTTCAACATTAAATTCAAAATTTACTTTGAATTCTCACTTTAGTGAATAACCCTGTAAGTATTCTTTTGAATCTGTATGGGAGTTTAAATCAGAGGGAGGTGTAGGCTGTTATAAATAGGTGAGTTTGAAGAGAACATAAAATCATGGAAAAGGAAAGTACGCACTCTTTGAATTATATAGTCTTACACATTAGAACATAAAACAATCATCTATTCCTTAGCAGGTCTTAAAACGAGGTAAATACAACCTGAAATGAACACATGAGATATTACACTGTAACCTTTGTCAAAATGGAGAAGCAATGTGTGAAAAACAAAGTACACCCTTACTGCTTCCATAGGCAATAAGAGGCTAAGTAGCAGACAGGTGCTGCTAATCAAATGCCCTTGATTAATTGATCGGTAAGTGTGACCGCCTCTACAAAAGCCAAAGTTTTATCAGTTTGCTGGTCTGGAGCATTCAGGTGTGTGTTAACACAATGCCAAGGACAAAAGATATCAGCAATGATCTTAGAGAAGCAATTGTTGCTGCCCATCAAACTGGGAAGGGGTTTAAGGCTATTTCCAACCAATTTAAAGTCCATCATTCTAAAGATTATTCAGAAGTGAAAAACATTCAAGACAGTTGCCAATCTTCTCAGGAGTGAATGTCAAAGCAAAATTACCCCAAGGTCAAACCCTGCAATGCTCAGAGAAATTGCAAAATACCAGAGAGTTACATCTCAGACTCTACATTACAATTAGAAAAAGACTAAACAAGTATGGTTTATTTGGAAGGGTTGTCAGGAGAAAGCCTCTTCTATTGGAAAAGAACATGGGTTAGGTTTACAAAGTTGCATCTGAAGAAACCACGTGACTTCAGGAACAATGTCCTTTGGACAGTCAAAACTAAAGTGTAGATGCTTGGCCATAATGCACAGTGCCATTTTTGGAAAAAAACAAACAAACAGTGATGATTTGGGCTTTTTGTGCAGTCACAGAACCTGGAAACCTTGCAGTCATTTAGTCGACCATAAACTCCTCTGTGTATCAAAGTATTCTAGAGTCAAATGTGAGGCCATCTGTCAGAAAGCTAAATCTTGGCTGAAATTGGGTCATGCAACTCAATTGCAACAAAAAAAAAGAATCAAAGTGAAGCCCAGACCTCAATCTGATTGAAATGCTGTGGTGGGACCTTACGAGAGCTGTGCATAAACAAATGCAAGCAAACCCAGATGAACACAACACAACACAACAATGTAAGAGACTGATAAAGTCATACAGAAAACAATTACTTCAAGCTATTGATGCTAAAGTTGGTTCTACAAGCTATTACATCACAAGGTGTACTTAGTTTTTCACACATGACCTCCATTTTGACTTTACTTTTGTTAAATAAATCATGACACACTGTAATATGTCATGTGTAGTTGTTGTTCATCTGAGGTTGTATTAACCTTATTTTAAGAGCTGCTAAGGAACAGATGATTGTTCTTGATATGTCTTAATTAGTGATGTCCCGAACGGTTCGCGAACGGTTCGCCACGGACTCTTCATTGAGTAAACTTTGACCCTGTACCTCACAGTCAGCAGACACATTCCAGCCAATCAGCAGCAGACCCTCCCTCCCAGGCCCTTCCACCTCCTGGACAGCTCACTAAGAATGCAGCTTCACAATGAATGTAAAATGGATGCTGTCCAGGAGGTGGGAGGGTCTGGGAGGGAGGGTCTGCTGCTGATTGGCTGGAATGTGTCTGCTGACTGTGAGGTACAGGGTCAAAGTTTACTCAATGATGAGTTTGTGGCGAACCGTTTGGGACATCACTAGTCTTAATATGTAAAACCATAGAAGGGTGTACTTTCTTTTTCCCATTACTGTATAAAGGAAAACACTATGTTTATAGATCATAAAAATTATTAATACTAAAAGTCATTGCAAGGAAAAAAATGCATTTTCTAACATTTGAACAAATACCTGTATTTCCTAATCCTTAAAATCATGCCTTTTATTAGTTGCAAAACTGTCCTTTGCATTTAATGAAGATCCATCCCCTTTTCATCAGTACTTACTTTCTCCAATCAAACAAAATATATATAAAAAACACCCAAGGGACCGGAAGGTAGGACAGAAAGGAACCTGCCCCCCTCCCCTCCCTGGAGTAAATGAGGTCACCTAGACTGGGTAATAGGGGATAACCCAAGAGATAATAAAGTAAAGAGAATATAATTCCAAAAAGCTGCCTTACTAGAAGGTAGCCAATAGGAAAAGAACCCAGTCCAATCTCAAAAGTAAGTATAAATGGTACCAAAAAATAATAAAACTTTATTAGAATATAGTAAAAACCTAGGGCTAGACAGAGATATCTAGAGTCTGATCTGGAGAGAGGTATAACATATTAAGAAGCCAAAAATAAGCTTAATAAACAGCCAAAAGGGCAGTAAACTAAACTATGTTATATATACCTCAGGGAATAACAGCAGAGAGAACCTGAGTAGAAGAGAGAGGAAAAGGGAGAAATAGGTATATAGTATATAGTAACCCAAAAAGGGGTAAAAATGCCCCAATTGTTACATAAAGGGTACCAATGAAAATACTAAACCTAAAGACAAAAACCCTTTCCCAGATCAAAGGAGTCCTACAATTAAACAATCTCTTTAAGCTGACCCACTATCTCCTAAATAACACCTTCGTGGGTGTTCTAATCTAATATCTAGGCCTAGACATATATAGCCAAAGTAACATTGTGCAAAGTGCTCGTTAATGCCAATTAGACAAAAAAAATAAGTGAACCCAACACGTGTTTCGGCGTGACTACACGCCGTCCTCAGGGGTATTGCAACCGAGGCTATCCCTGCAATATAATATATACCCATGTTAATTTACACATACCTGAACATTGGCCAATGAATGCGTTCTACAATTAAGTCACCGCACCAATGATGTTCTAGGGGCGGGACATAGATACCAACATCCAATCAGTGCATTTCAGTTATTCCGGTCGCTACACCAATAGTATTGTGGGGGCGTGGTATACACGTCACAACCCACAAAATGAAATCGTGAGCGGCCGGAATCATCAAATTAGCCGGTCCAAGAAATTTTTAACCCTACATATACCGAACTTGTCATTCATATAAGATATCTATTTAGTGGTACCTAAGATTGAACCGATATAATACAGCCAAAAAAGACCCTTAGTATTCCAAAAATTAGCAATAAATTGCTAAGTTTAAATAAGTAAATAACATATATATATCAAAGGAGCAAATGAACGGCCAGAATCATCAAATTAGCCAGTCCAAGAATTTTTAACCCTTCATATACCTAACTTGTCATTCATATAAAATATCTATTTATAGTCAATGGTAACTAAGATTGAACCGATATAATATAAGCAGATAACAACCCCTTAGTGTTCCAAAAAATAGCCACGGATCACTAAGTTTAAATGAGTAAATAAATAGCATATATATCAAAGGAGCAATTGAATGGCAATGTCTAATCAGGATACTATGTTGCCACTAAAATATTATAATGTTGCCAATGTATCTATGTATGAGCGCTTTATTTTAACAGCACATGTTCAAACATAGTCTATGGCACTTGATATAAGACACCTTGAATAATATGAGGGTATAAATGGATATAATTGGGTATAGAAAAGAGATAGCGGAAAATAAATAAAAACTAATAAAGAATATATATATATACATATGTACAAACTTAACAAGAGATACCGTAAAACTATTGCCTTTCTATTGAATAAATGGGGAGTAAGAAAAGCCTTCATTCAGCCCAAGTGGAGACAGAGTTTTGAGGCTATAAATCCAAAAAGCCTCTCTTTGTCTTAATCTCAAATCCCAATTTCCTTTTCGCGGTGGTTGTGGTATGTGTTCTAGACCCATGAAACGGATACCTGCTGAGGAGTGATTATGATGTAGATGTAAGTGTCTAGAGACAGGTGTCTCCAAATGTCTCCTGACAGAATTCACATGCTCACGTATCCTGAGTCTAAAATGAGGAAAAGTCTTGCCCACATATTTTAAACCACAAGAGCAGGTCAATAGGTAAATGACTCAGGTTCTCTCTGCTGTTATTCCCTGAGGTATATATAACATAGTTTAGTTTACTGCCCTTTTGGCTGTTTATTAAGCTTATTTTTGGCTTCTTAATATGTTATACCTCTCTCCAGATCAGACTCTAGATATCTCTGTCTAGCCCTAGGTTTTTACTATATTCTAATAAAGTTTTATTATTTTTTGGTACCATTTATACTTACTTTTGAGATTGCACTGGGTTCTTTTCCTATTGGCTACCTTCTAGTAAGGCAGCTTTTTGGAATTTTATTCTCTTTACTTTATTATCTCTTGGGTTATCCCCTATTACCCAGTCTAGGTGACCTCATTTACTCCAGGGAGGAGAGGGGGGCAGGTTCCTTTCTGTCCTACCTTCCGGTCCCTTGGGTGTTTTTTATATATATTTTATTTAATTGTATCGGTGTTATTCACCTTGGTCACCACCTTTTCTATTTATCAGATGGCAAGTTTTTTGTCTAATAAACCCAATGCAAGCACCTGGTGTGCGGACGTCGACTCTGTCTTTAGTACAGAAAGTACAATAGAAACACTATCTCCTCCTAACATTCATACTAGTTTTAATAAGTTAACCAAACTTTTCAAACAGCAGATTAAGATAAGCTGGGAAGTCTCTACCCTCGAAAAATACATCTCTAAAAATATTATACCTAAAGGATTGAGAGTACAAATTTATCCAGCAAGACAGGTGGAGATGGAAGAGTTCTATAAGGAATGGGATTAAGCAGCTTCAAAATGTTCAAATACCTTTATGAAGATTATTTGCAAATATGAGTCTATTAAATTAGCTAATGTCCAATTGGAACTAGACAAAGAGATTGAGTTAGTTCAGGACTTCAAAACAGAACCATCATTTGAGGCCCTAGAGATAAAACTCAAATCTAATTTAGACAAATTCTCACACATTATAAAAGTGAGGAAACATCAGAAATATATGAGAGACATCAAGGATTTTGAACAAGGCAGGGTCTATCGTTCATTTAAAAGAAGGAATAAAATAGACTCTGATCAATTCAGTACATCTGAGTATGAATCAACTGATACTGAATTAGATAAATCCCAAATCCCGATTCCTATGAATCCATCCAAAAGTATTCTCAAGAAAGGAGTGGATTTTTTAGGTCTAAGACAGGCGGATCTGACTCAGGGTCCGCACACCAGATACAGAGGCAGAGGTCAGAGACGACGCAGAGAGTAAATAAATCTTCTCTGCGCGTCATTAACCTCTCAAGTATTACCCTTAGCCCGACTGAGCTTAGGGTGCTGGAGAAGGGGCTTTCGTTTGTACCTATTCCGGCATTCAGTAAGTTCAACTGGACTAAGGATGTAAATTTATTTGTGAGGAAATTGGCCTTACACAAATACCATGCAGTCTGGGTTTAACATCAAAAGATTTGGATTGTCTGGATACTATTGTTGACTTGCTTAATTCTGGTGATGGAACGGTACATAATGATATTCCATACACAAATTTGAAATTAAAGAGTAAGTTTACTCCCCATTTTCAGGATTACAAAAATTTGGAGGTCTTCCTGGAAATGGTGACTAGGGAAATTGAAAATATAAATGTGGAAACACTTCATCTATCCCCTAGAGGTAATCTAGACATACAAGAAACAATAGCTCTTAAAAAAACTTCAGAACTATAAGGATTTGATATTTAAACCCTCTGATAAATGGGGCAATGTGGTGATACTGGACAGAGATCACTATATCCGTATAGCTGAAAGTTTACTATCTGATGGCAACACTTACCGCATATTAACTAAAGACCCTACTAAACAATTTCAAATTGAGTTAAAGGAACTACTTACAAAGGCTGTGAATTATCAATTCATCAATCAAGATGAATTTGAATTTATGTGCACAAAACAACTATGTCTATCTACTTTTTATTGTTTGCCTAAAGTACATAAATCCTTATCTGACCCAACCGGAAGGCCTATTGTCTCCGGATGTGGCAATTTAACTCAAAATGCGAGTGTTTATATAGACAAAATCTTATCACCAGCGGTTCAAAAGTTGCCTTCATTTCTTAGAGACACCAAACAGATGTTGCATTTACTGACTAACCTTACCTTACCTACAAATGCCATCTTATGTAGCTTAGATGTGGAAGCTCTCTATAGTTCCATTCCTCACAATCTAGGTATTAAATACACTCAGGAACTTCTTAAATTGGAAACTAATTTACCTGAGGATTATGTGAATTTTGTGATGGAACTATTAGAATTCATTCTAACTCGGAATATATTTCTTTTCAATGGAAAAATTTTCCATCAGGTTACTGGCACGGCTATGGGGACGTCTTGTGCGCCCTCATATGCCAACCTTTATCTTGGTTGGTGGGAAAGGCACATTAGGACAGACCCCAGCCTAAAATCATACATTGACCGGATCTTCTATTGGAATAGATATATCGACGACGTCTTTGTAATTTGGCTGGATACAGTAGACAAATTCAATGAATTTGTACAATTACTTAATATCAATGATTTCAATTTACGGTTTACAAGTGAGATAGGGGGCGAATGTCTTTGCTTTTTAGATCTCACATTGCAGATTTCTGTAGGAGGCAAGATAGATACAACATTGTATAGAAAAAAGACAGCCTCCAATAACCTGTTATGTTGGACAAGTCATCATCCTACATCATTGAAAT